AACGGAATTGGATCGTATTCAAACGGGATAACTTATCAACACAACACAATAAATGTGGGTGAGGTGGATGGTGTGATTCCGGTACGGAATTCCGGAATCGGAACCAATTCCCGCAATTCCGGAATCGGTAGGAATTCCGTGCAATTGCGGAATCGGTGGGAATTCCGTGCAATTCCGGAATCGGTGGGAATTCCGTGCAATTCCGGAATCGGTCGAACTCGATCAATCTTGACTGGGTGTCTTATGTTGTGTGTCGATCGAGTTCCCGGAATTGGACGGAATCGATTCCGGTGCGGAACTGATTCCTCCAATGTTCAACATCGCGGAATAGGATGCATTCTCTTCATTTCAAAATTTCACATTCCTTTAATAACAACATAACAAAAATTTAAAAAAAATACGGAAATAAAATATTTACTTCGCGATTTCCGCCATCAACGATAAACTCACCTTTAATAAAGACATAGTGACTAGCAACTATTAGCATATCGTTGTTATGTCTTAAGTCGTTTTTATACAAATATAATAGACTTGATAGAAATATATGATGATTTTCCATAATAATTTAAGATAAAAAAATCTGCAAAGGAGACAAATATCAAATGTTATTATCTAAAATTAGATATAAAACATCTTTTGTTTACCTTTCTTTATTTGAATATGTATAACTTATATGATTTTTATTCATATTTTCTGGTTTATATAGCCATGTGACACGCACCCATGTCACTCACCCCGGCTGTCGGAAATAGTGTCTTAAACGGCCTAAAACGACTATAAAACGGCGTTTTACTACCTTATTTATAGCCGTATTTTACCTGTTTTCAACCGTTTAAGGCCGTTTTCGGCACCGTTATCTTTGTCGTGGGTGTAGTTAATTTTAATTTTTCATATGGATAATGCTTTGTTTTCAAATGATTGATCAATTTACAATGAGAATCTATTGTTTGTTTTATTTCTAAAAATATGTATACAATTATTATTTTCCATAAAATCAATATGTAATTTAATATTTCATGATATAGGGAAAAATATGTTTTCATTAAATTTCAATGGGCGCTCTTTTCTCTCACGTAATGATATAAACTATATAAGAGAAGTATATGAAAAATCTTTTGTTTCTTTAAGTATTCAAGAGAGCTCGCTTTTAGAACATATTGATGTAAATTAGAGTTTGTTCGTTTAACTCACTCTTACATCTATTTCAATAGATCAATGTGGTATATTAAAACAAATGAAAATAGTTTAAAAATAATAGATTTCCTGTATTTTTTCTATAAAAGAACATTTTTACATATAAAACTCCCGCATATATTTCTTGTATAAAATATTGTAACTTCGTAATCATTATCAGAAACGTGTCAATTATTATATGTACTTCTTTTTAAAGATTTGAATTAGTTCTATCATCTGTTTAACGTTTGTTTATGCTCACATTGCTAAATCTGAATCGATGTACTTTTGAAGGAAAGTTTTGAGCTGTAAACTCATCTGGAAAATGTGTCATCTTGAGGGTGTGGGCATAGGAATATCTTGAATAGAACACACCCACACCTCAATCATGATTTTTCTTAATAATGGATAAAAACGATAGCTGTTTGTATACTTCAAAACTATTTTTACAATAACTTAAGACGTGTACTGGACGTTGATCACCATTTGAGTTCTATTCAACCTCATCATTAGTTAACTGGTGTGAGTGTTTAATCCCCACACCCACACTTACACCTAACCTAATGTTAAATTATCAATTTTGAAAGGTCAATTACTTGAGAATAGTGAAAATTTAAACCGATTGATACAAAACAGAAAAAATGAATAATGAAAATAAACATGATTTTTACAAATTATATTGTTTTTGTTAAAGATACTGTATAATATATCAGGATAAGGCGAATATAATGACTATGCGAATGAATTATGACAAATCAGGAAAAAATTAGGAAAGTAATACGGCTGCGAGGCTTGCTGTCAGTTTTAGAATTTTTATCAAATTTAAATTCAATAAAAAAATAGTTGGGACTTAAAGAGAAGGTCGTCGTGTACCATTCCATAATTTGGTTTTTTGTTGAGTACTAGTACGAGAAAGTGGTACAACAACAAGTAAACCTAATGTTGATATAACAGTTAGAAGAAGAAAAATATAAAAAAGAATTTTATCGACTTTTGTTGCCATTGCACGCCAATCATTTGTTACTCGTAGATCATGATCAAGTTCTTTTTGTTTACGTAATAAACCATGTAATGTATCTTGTATTTCATCATGAATGGTATTAACTGATCTTGTCCGAGATGATGAATGATTTTTATTTTTATTATGTAAAAACTTTCGTTCTTGATTATCATCCATATCCATTTGCGTTGCAGTTGCCTTTTAAATTGAAAAAGAAAAATATATAAATCTACTTAAACGTAACAAAGATTTTTCAAGTGTATCATTCTTCTACTCATATTTTAAAATATGTCGTTTTTCACTTCAATAGACCTTTAAATTATTGTGTTGTAAGTATAAAATTCTTTTTTTTTGTGTTAATTTATAAGAGATAAAATATAATTGGAAAAATTAAATTACTAGGTAATTATACTTACGCCATCGGTTATTGTTCGTATTCTGTCATCGTCATGAATTTTATATTTCTTTGATGAATCACGTTCATTTTTACGAAAATTTTTTGTCTTTTTTGTTCTTTGATATGATCGAATAATATTTGCTAATGATAAACTTAATAATTGCTGAAGCCAAAATGGTATTTCATTTTTTTTTGGGCCACGATAATGAAGATTAAGAACAAATACTGTCATCATTACTGATAC